AATCTGTTTCGAGCAAGACAGAGCACAGAATATATCTATCTATCTCCGTCTTATTTTTCAGAGAAGACTGCGAGTTCGAACAGTTGACGGGCAAGCACATCCCCCACCCTCTGTTACCAAGCCTGAAGCTTATGATATCTAAACGTAAACAAAGCAAATGAAAATATGCTGGCTCTGTAGTCAGAAGATTCGATTTCGACATCAAAAATGAGTTTTAAATTAAATGTTTATGTAAAATTATTTTTCAATTAATCGATGACAATGAGACAATATTTGAACAGGGTCATTAACCTTTTTTGTACAAATACATTGATAATAGCCTTTTTAACAACTTATTAACAATAAAAAATAGTTTAACCAATCCGCGGCGAGTTTCCGACACTTCACCGCAAGCTCTACCCCCACTCTCTGTGCCTAAGCCTGCAGCTTATAGTTTTCAAGCATCATTCACATTATTGAAACCATAATAGCTCCGTGGTAGCGCACCAATCTTTTATTTTGCTGGGCAGGGTTCGATCCCAGTCATAGGCAATTGTTTTTTTCTTTTTTTTGCTTAAGTGACTTTATATACTTATAAATTAATTCATATATTTGATTAAATTATTCTTCCAATTAATGACGGAAAACAACTTGTTTTTCTGAAAATAAGCTGAGGGTGAGGAACGAGTTACTATGAATTCTCTTTTTTCGAAAATGTTTGTCTTTAAAAGACAATAGGAATTGATTTTGAACTTATATAAGCAACCAATTATTGTATTTATATAAAATTTTAATGAAAAAAAAGGATAGCTAACACATCATCTCTGACATTATGTTTATGTTATAAATTGTATAATGCAGGCTTGGGTACGAAGGGTAGGGATAGAGTTTGCCGGCGAAGTGCCGGAAATCCCCGTGGATTATTTCAACTACTTCTAAATATTTCTAAATTGCTTAAAAAAAAACTACGTTCATATAGCTATAGTAAAAAAAGTGTTTATAACCCTGTTCATATGTTTTCCAACTCGGCGTCGATAAATTACATAAATAATTAAGAAGAAAAATCAAATCTTTAGTAAGAATTCATTTTAGCATGTCAATATTATAATTACATGCAAATCTAACAAATGAAAAAGAAAAAAAAAACTTTATCATGACTGGAATTGAACCCTGCTTAGCAAAATAAAAGACCGATGCTGTAACCACTGAGCTATTATGGTTCCAATTAGAGATGTGAATTTACCGGTAATAGAAAATTCGGTAATTACCACGTAAAATTACCGGTATCTGACGGTATTCTGACGTCAAAAAATTCTGAATGTAAAATTTACCGTCAAGCCGTCGGGTCAGCGTAATTACCGTAAATTACCGGTCATTCGCATCTATATAGATGAATATGATGAGCTTTTTACCGAGGAAATGGCTTGCTTTCGAACTTGCTTGCCAATTTGCTTAAGTTAATTTGCTTTTTGCACTTGTTAATTTAAAACTAATTAATTATTATAAGATGAAAAAAAAATTTTGTAATTTGTAATAAAAAAAATATTTTACATTTTTGACTGTTAGGACAGAAATAATAAATATATTGAAAATTATTATAAACGTTTATTTAGTTAAGTTTTGGTACATTTTTTTTTATAAAATAGATAATCCTTCGTTATTACATATTATAAAGAATTTGACTTTTTTAACTTTTATGTAAATTATTTATGAAAAAATAAAACCATATAATCTATAGTTTCTATCAACTAGTAATATCACATAATAATTGACATATTTCATTAGGAAATAACAAGTCTAATACTGATTCAATTCCATCAACATCACTAATTAGTCTTGAGTAAATTCTTCTTCTAAAAATTCAACTTCTTCATGCTCAGCACAAATTTCACTTATTTCATCCTCTCCTTTATTACTTTCCTCATCTTCTTCCCATTCTTCTTCTGTATTTTTTGGTGAAGGATTAAGTAATTTTAAATTTCTTGCAATGTATGTTATTTTTCCAGCTCTATCGATACTTAACTTATTTCTTTTAGATGAATGAATCCATCCTTGTGTACTAAAGGAACGCTCGGTTGCAGCTGATGTTGCAGGTAAAGTCAATATAGCCACAGCTATTATCTGTACAAATTCCGATAACTTTTTTAATTCCCAAAGCATCAATAACACTTCCTATTTTTTCAGAAATATATAAGGCAGTTTGTGATTCGGTTCCAGTTGGAAATGTTTTGAAAAAAACTGGCGCTGGGGTTGTTACAATAAATTGATGATTCCTTCTTTGCGAATATTAGACCATGCGTCACATTGCACTCCAACAGTAGTAGCAGATTCAATTTTTTCATTAACCATATTTTGTGTTCTAACGAATACTGAATCTAAAAGATTATTTGATATTTGATTTCTTGATGGCAAATTAAATGAAGGCCGTAATGCGTTAAAAAATTTTAGCCAATATGGATTTTCTGTTATACATAATGGTGTACCAGATGCATAAATCGCTTCTGCAAGTAGTTCTTGTAGAGAATCTTCATCTTTTTTTGACATTTTATCACAAAAACTATCGATTGTATTTTTTTTATAGTTATTGCTACAAACACTTATATTATTTGGTAAATTTTCATTTGAAATCATTGAAGTACTTGCTCTATTGTCTGCTTCATTCAAATCTTCAATAGTAAATGAGTCGTCTGTGCTGTTTAGATGAGAATTATTTCGTTTACGAGGTTTACATGGTTTTAAAAGTTTCCGTAAGTCTTGAGGACAACTTCTACACTCTTTATAAAGATGTTTTCGCATGCGAGTAATGTTTTCTGCATACTTTTTCTTGCAATAGTTACATGAATACGATTTTAATTTTTGGTTAGGTTGCAGAGGTAATGCAGAGAAATGTTTATATATTGATTTGTTCTCCCCCATTGCACCAAGTTCTCAATGAAAATCCTTATCTACAAATTGAATTTTCTTATATTAAATATTATCAGTATTTTTAATAAACAAATAAAAATGAAAATATATACCTGATAGAACAAATAAACAGTTGTATGCCGTTGGGAATTCTAAACTGTGATTGGACATGTATTAACCAATCAGAGATCAGCATTTTTCTGACCGGTATGGTAAAACAGGCTTGGTCATTGACGCGTTTTTTACCGGTAATTTACGGTAAATTTACCCGTCAATTACCGATTCACATCTCTAGTTCCAATATCCTTATATATGCTTGAAAATTATAAGCTGCAGGCTTGGGCACAGAGAGTGGGGGTAGAGCTTGCCG